ATGGCCAAAGACCTTTCTGGGCGCACACCATTGCACTACGCCGCACAGTATGGTTTCAAGGTCGTATGTGAAGTGATCATTGAGCATCTTATAGAATGGGGCATGTTCGATGTTAGTGATGGGATCGATGGCCCTCTCTGGCAAGACAATGACGGCTGGGCCCCGCTCCATTTGAGTGTTGTGGGTGGCCACCCAAAGACCACCAGGTGTCTCTTGGATGCCGAAAAGCGGAACGATCCGTCCCAGGAACGGAGCATCATAAGAAAACAGGTCTCTAAGTCTAGTGCAGTATTGGCACTAGCGACCAAGGCCAACTTTATTGATATTGTCCAACTTCTGGTGGATGCCGGCGTGGATATCAATTACCAGGATGAACAAGGAGAAACTGCACTGCACGTTGCCGCCCGATTTTGCCATGACGAGTGTGCACAAATTCTGCTGGATGGCAGCGAAGACCAGAAGGCAGACACAGAATTAGCCGAAAACACATACGGCTGGACGCCGCTCTTTATTGCCTGCGTGGACGGATGTCTGAGTGTGGCCAAAATGCTAGTTTCCGCTGGTGCAGACGTGGAGCGTTTCGATACCTCTGGCTGGACGGCTAAGGAGCACGCGGCCCTCCGAGGCCACCTTGACATTGCCCGGTGCTTGGCAGAAGTTAGCCCCGGCCCTCCTACCACCGAGCCCGATCTTTCATCGTCTAACCAAAACCTCTCTGGTTCCGAGTCCTCCTCGCCTCCGAGTCAGTCGGCCCTCACTGATCGCCGATCGAATGCGCCAGGCCCAACTTCCGGGAGTCCTGGTGTAAGGACCACTGAACCTATCAAGACTTTTGGACATAGGTATCTCACCGATGAGAGCATGATCTTGGTCAGTCTCGGAACTATGGACATGCGCAAGCCGCTTGAGACAGTTAGCCTCGACCGCATTCCGATGGAGAATGCACACGCCACCCAGTTGGACACATCTTTGTCGTTGGTGGTAACAGCGAGTGGTGCGCACGGTGAGCCGGAGGTGATTGACTTGCCTGTGCAGGAAAATATCTCAACCGAGCCAATTGTCTTCCACACTACCGATCATACCAAGGTCCGTCTACTTTTCGACCTTGTCCCCACATATGCAGGATCGAAGGAGAAGATCGTTGGCCGGGGTGTCGCTCTCCTTTCTAGCATCAAGCCCACTGTGGGGTCACACCGAATCAACCTCAAAGGTGATTCCACTGTTCCCATTGTTGCCGCCAATACCCTTGAGGTGATTGGGTCTGTGACTTTTAACTTTCTCGTTATCACCCCCTTCAAGCACCCGAAAATGTCTATCGCTGGCAACCAGACCTACTGGCGCTCGATGAGCTCAACCATGGTCATTGGACACCGTGGGCTGGGTAAGAACATGGCCAGCCGCAGTTCTTTGCAGTTGGGCGAGAATACTGTGGAGTCCTTCATCGCTGCTGCCAACTTGGGAGCCTCATATGTTGAGTTCGACGTGCAGCTCACGAAAGACCACGTCCCTGTCATTTACCACGACTTCCTGGTCAGCGAGACGGGTATCGATGCCCCTGTTCATACCATGACACTCGATCAATTCCTCGAGTTGGGCGTCGGACGTTACCGCCATGCCTTGCCCGAATCCGTGAAAGTTGATGGCAAGGAATCTGAGCTTGGTCCCCGCCAGCGCTCAATGTCGGTCGGCGGCTCCGAGTACAACCCTGCCGAATTGACCGAGAAGATCAAGCACACACGCGACTTCAAGAAGAAGGGGTTCAAGGGCAACACCCGCGGCGAGCACATCCAGGCCCCATTCGCCACATTGGAGGAATTATTCAGGAAGATCCCGAAACCCGTCGGATTTAACATCGAACTGAGTGAGTTGCTAGTCCTTCCCAAAGAATAAGTATTCGGTCAATCTAACCAAAGTCACCAGAATATCCCATGCTGCACGAGAGCGAGGAGGAAGAAATGGACACCTATGCAATAGAACTGAACTCCTTCGTTGACACGATCCTGGCAAAGGTCTACGACATGGGAGGCGGCCGCGACATGCTGTTCTCCAGCTTCAACCCGGATATCTGTCTGCTGTTGTCTTTCAAGCAGCCTTCCATCCCTGTCCTCTTCCTGAGCGACGCGGGCGCCTCCCCGGTCGGTGACATCCGCGCCAGCAGCTTGCAGGAGGCTGTTCGGTTCGCCTCGCGGTGGAATCTCCTTGGGATTGTCAGCCAGGCCGAACCACTGGTCCTCTGCCCGCGGCTAGTCCGTATTGTCAAGGAGTCCGGTCTTGTGTGTGTGTCTTACGGAACACTCAACAATGACGGTAACAATGTTGACGTAAGTACTTTCATCATTCCCTTTTCACTCCCCAAACCCCAAACAACTATCTTACCATTTTATCCGTATAGTACCAAGTCGCCGAAGGCATCGACGCAGTCATCGTCGACTCCGTGCTCGGCATCACCAACGGCCTCATCCAGCGCCGGGGCGGGGGCGAACGCACACCCTCCACATCACCCCTTCCTGCGGCCGTCAGTGACCAGGTAGCCGACTCTGCCAAGGGCGCTGTCTCAGTCCCGACTCTCGAGCGGGTGAAAAAGGCCGACTAATCTCTCACCGGATATGAATCCTCCTAGCCTTTAAAAAATTGCATTGCCATGTATCGTTGCATTCCTTGTGATTGTGATTTATCGGCATACGATGTCAATAGTTTGCATTCGGCTTTTGCGAGCTTCAACAGCTATCAATACCAGTTGCCTTTGACTGTCTCTACTTATTTCTAGGGTATTCTCTGGTTTGCGTAGGCCTCTTGACTTTGATTATTGGCTAGAGACAAAATAAGCATAGTACTGTCTTTTACATAGTGTGTAATATTCTTGTAGTTCCCTATTTTGGAATTCGGCCAATGCATTTTCCCCGAATGGTGAGTCAAGGTAAGCCATATAATGTAACTTATGCCAAACGCTCATTAAAGAATTTCTTGAAATCTTCCCACTTAGCATCTCTACCATAAGTTAGAGGGAGGGTGAGCTGGGCATCGAAAATAGCCCTCCGCGCAGGGCTACAAGTACATCGAAAAACGACCTCAGTCACAGGGGATGCAAACAGACGTGACAACGGCATTCCCCTGTCAGACGACGGGCCTTCGCTCTCCCGCTCAATGCTTGCGAGCGCATCAACAAAAATATCCTGGAAGTCAAAAACTGCCTGTTTATATTCCTATGGTGCAGCAGGAGGAGCAATGAATTCCGGACTCATAGCGAAACGCTCCATCGGCACAGTCTGGACATTGCTCTAGTCGAGGATAGCAGTGATATTGAAGTCTTCATCAACGAGAATATTCTTGTAGTGAAAATCCAGATGGCACAATGGGAACGGTCCATATACATGCTCTTCCGTTACAATCGACGTCAACTATCTGTCGAGGAACCAAGCGGCCGCTTCCCAGTCTGCTTCGCCTTTATGTTCTTCATAGATCTCCCTTGTTTGGCCTTTGCGGAATAGATAGAAGTATTCCAACGAGGTCGACAAAGGTCTGACCCAGGAGCCTGAGATCTGGAATGGTGAGATTTCAAGCTCGCCCGACTCGGAGTACGAGAGACAACCGATCTTGCTGAATCGGAGAGCGCTCAGATCATAGATATAGCGGGCGGGTTAAGCGGCGAATTTCTTCTTATGCGAATCGGGTATTGAGAGGGCCATTCCGTTTGCTAAAACGGTCCCTGGGAGGGCTTCCATCAACAGATAGGGATAGCCGAAGTCATTCTTCGTGACACTGTGCCCGAAGATGCAGGGTACAGGTATGATCGTTTTGGAGCGAACAAAGTTCATAGAAGCAATTTCACTCAAAAGCAATATCGCAGTGTCTTCATCGTCGTTGCCTTCCGGTAGCATGATTCTTGCCACCCATTGGATTGTGTCCGAAAATGTCAGCGCAATCACAAGGTTGTATGTTCCGCTGGTGAACTTTGCGGTGTTCACAGAACGGGTCATTGCATCTAAGGACTCTTCTCGTTGCGAATCTTGGTGGCTTCATAGCAGAGATGGGTGAACTTTGCCGTTTCGAGGACTGTTTGTATCCTCTTCATTCAATATACAAGAAGATTTTAATTTAGCCTGAACTTCGCAAAAGGGGACTTGAAGAAAGAAGGAACGCCGAAGTAGGAGTAAACGAGATTTCTCTTTTTAACAAGCTTGAGGGATACTTAGGGAGAGAACAAAAGAAAACGAGACATCTATCCCTGCAATGGGTTCTAGGTCCACGTGTGGCTCAGGCGGAGACATATGCACATTGTACATCGTTTACTTCGCCGCAACTCGCCAATACTAATACTATACAGTAGGAAGTTGCCAGGAGAGTATCCATGGATCATTCAAGACCCAATGTCAGTTGCGTGATCAAATGTAAATCCCGAAAACTTCACACATTGGCACCATTCTTTGCTGAATTTATTCCTCCAATCTAGAAATGAGGCTGCAAAACCTACCATTCGAAATACTGTGTATGGTTATTCGCTTTATAGGCAGCGATCAGCTTCGCAAACATGAAGCCTGCTGCTTGTTGTTTGCAAGTTGTGGTATGAGATTGCACAGCCCCTCCTTCTAGCGGACCTCAACCTCAGTGCGACTCAGTTGGTACATGCACCCGAAAATGTGTATCCGAAACTGAGGGCCATTTTGCGACAACTCACAATTCATGTGAATGGCCCCAAGAACTGGCCCGCTGAGCAGGATATCGCGAAATTGAACGAAATACTCACTCCATTGGTTGAGCGGAGTAATCATTTAGTATCTTTCACTTCGCGTGTCCGCAGCCAATTTGACCCAGACCCTCCGCTGTCTCCTCGCCAGCAATATCTTTCAACATGGAACCCAACTCAATTTATGAGCGTCCTGGGTACCTCAAACCTCTCACAGCTTGTCATTGATACCTATGGATCAGAAATGAGCAGCGCTATACATATTTGTCCTCTGCTGGCGCTCTAGATCCCTTCACTGAGATCCGTTTGCTTACGCATGTGTAGAATTTGCCCACAGATTCTTGAATTTTCGCCGGACGACAGTACCATGCCGTCACGACTTGAGAGTCTTATCATCAACCTCAGTCTCCAAGATGTCGATCGATTCTCCGCGGGATTTAGTAATCATTGTACCGAGCCAAGGAGTTCATTGGACCTATACAATGAGATGATTACGACAGGTACTGAAATTGCAAAACAAACCCCAAGCCTCAAAGTATTCAAAATTCTGTGGCATAGGCACCCATACTCGGATACGATGACTATGAACTGTATTACTGGGATTAAGACAATTCTTTCTGGCACCTGGGACTGGAGCGATGAAGGGGTCCCTGAACCTGGCGAACCATTCTTCCCTATTTTTCATCAACAGATAGTGATTCCTCAAGTTGAGCTGGTATATTGATCTAGCCAAGATTTAATATATCCAACATTTCCAACATTTCCAACATTTGAAATTGAGGAAATAGTAGCTTAATTAGGAACATAATAACAACTTGTCGAAACAGACACCCATGATCGTTCGATCGTAATGCTGTTCCTCGTCTTCCCGCTGGTGGTAAACCGGTAGATCATCAAGATCGGTATTTGCTGGTTTTGGCACCGTACTGCTCACTAGTGCGGTGACACGCCCTGGATTTATTTTGACAACTTTCCTCGGACCTAGCCATCCTGACTCACTCTTCCAATGGCGTCGAGAAAAGGTCTACGAGACTTCTTGTGTACACAGATACCAGGTCCGTAGGACTCTGACGGATACACTAAATAGTTCTCCACTAGATGAAAGATGAAAATAGATGAAATCCGATGACCTGCGTCTATGCTATCAGGCTAGGTCCGGCTTAAATCGACTTGTGCTGCTGTTTCAGGCGCCAATTAGAAATGAATTGGCCTGACTCCTTATTCCTAGTAGCAAATGAGAATGTTGTTCTTGCCGCCAGCTGATGTACTAAACCACGCATATTGTTACAACTGGTGGGCTGCGCCTCCGGAGACCGGTTGACTACTAATGTTCCTAGGAAATATCTCGGTTTGCGAAATTTAGATACTTCATAGACCAGTTTGCTTCAGACATGTTACCAAGGCTCCCAGTTACTGACGTCATCAGATTATGGCAGTGCTTTCAGCGCCTGTAAATATTAAGTGAAGGCAAAGGGACAACTCCAGATCTTCAACCTGTGAAAATTGGGCCTATTACCGAACACCCTTTCATTTCTCACCAGCTGGATATTAAAGGCGAACCTTCGAAGGTAAAGTCATTGTGCGAAGAGGCATCAAAAATGGGTACATTGAATGCACCTGGCTATGCTATAATCGAGGAATGAAGTACCTGGCTCAGGGCGTATTTCGGTCCGGTTAACCAGTTTGGTCATATCATCCTGGCTTACGACTCCACTTGCCGGGAGGCAAGGATCAACTGGTGGAACTTGAGGTGGTAATCACAAAGCTGGCCACAGCGGCCCCAGTACAATCTCCAGACTGCTAGCCAAAAGACATTGACTATCAATGGATATCCGGTCAAGACATTCAGTCCTGAATGGATCTGCGTGAGAAAATTTTGTCACAGTATCAACGGTAGGGTCTAAAAGCACAGACTGATATTCGTGATATGGAACGCTTGATCATTTTCGCTGTACCTGGCACGCCGGAACTCGACTTCAGTCATATTGAAGAGTTGAAACCTGAATTAGCAGGTCTACTGAAAAATTGGCCAGGAATACGATAGGCCCTAAAGTAAAGGTTCAATTGCCTAGCAATCTTCAATAACTGGTGGTACGCCCTATTATCGTCCTTGTCAGAATGAAGTACTAATTGGGGCTTATATAGATGCTATATAGGCGACTTATGGTATGGCTTTTAAGATATATGCTTGTTTTATGTGACTCACTATTTAAACTACTATGCCTGGAAGGCTTATATTGTTGCTAGCTCTACTGCTTCCGCTTGACTTTCTACTATTGTTGATCCTTGATTCTACCTATTGTTCTTTCTATCCACGTTCATTATGCATCTATTAGTTTAAGGGACAAGATAAGAAGTTTTTTTTAAAAAAAAGAAGCAGAAAAGGAAAAAGAAAGGAAAAGGGAACAGAAGGCCTCAATCTTTATACCCACCGCCAAATTGTTTATACACGCTACGGACCCTACCTACATACATTATATAAGTTATAAATCACGCACTAGCAAATTATTTAACGCTCTATTCTTCTCATTTAAATATCTAGATCTTATAACTTATCGCCGACCTCAAGTAGTAGAATCAGGAGATAGGATTTCCCCTCATATCCACTAGCATTTCTTTTCTAGAACCAAGACATTTTGAAACCCGGAGGTCCCATTCACTATACTAGGCCTCGTGAATCCGACTAAAGTGCGTGCTATACCATTCTACCGCCCGCTTATCCGCACAGTTATCGAGAGTATCATTATTGACTTCGAGATAGCCCGGCATCATTGAGATCTAGGCGTTTAGTAGCAACTGCCAAGACGAATATCTAACCTCCTCGATATTATGAATAACTCCTTTAATAAAGCTCTCAACCAATGCCGCTTTAAGCGGATAGAATAAGTTGCCATACGCTTCATATTGCTTTAGTTGAGCGCTCTAGCTTAACGGGTTTGAAGTCATGCCCAGATTATCTAGTGGTAAATGCGCGAAGGAGTTGGGGATTAAAAAGATTTAGTCCTCGCTAAACGGAAGGTGGGGCGGGAACTGGAATGACGTGCAATAACGGTCTAAGCGTTTATAGCCCTTGTTAATCTTATTAAGGACGGCTAGCGGATCTAGGAGAGACTCCATAATTTCAGGGGCGGCCCGGCGATTAGGAGGGGCTTGAGGGAATCCCGAGTCTTTGAGCTTCTGAATCGCCGTCTGATGATGTTCGTCTCTAATAACAAACATGTGATCCTGCGATGATAGTCAGTGAGAACAAGACCAAACAATAAGAGAGAAAATACTTACGCCTGCCCTAGTTGGGACGGACACCCAAATGATGTATTGCAAGCTGTCCCCACGAAATGACCGGTAGAGGCTTGAGTATTTGACTAAATTCTGAAGATATGCTGTCAGGTGCGACCTCTCGGGGATTCCTGAACATCTCCGCTGCAAATCTTTCTTTTGAATATTATTTTGTGTACTCTTAGTATGTTTGCCTGCGATATAGATGTCGAGATTTATTGGCTAAGAAGGCAAGGAGGATGCAGCAGCATGAATTGTATTGGTGCGGACTGGACTCTGAGAGGAAAGAGCGTTCCGAGGTCGAAAGAGCTAAAATTCCGGTTAATGGCTTTCTCAAAACCCGCTATATAAATGTAAAGAGGACAAGAGATTACCATATGTTACGTGCTAAGTCTTCTAAAACAAAAGACTCCATCAATTCAAAATACTAAAGATAGGAAGGGGGAGAGAGAGAAAGGAAGCAAGATCTGGATCAGCTCCGAGAGCTAATATACCCATGATCTATGCAAACAATGCACTCTTCATCTCCCGCTTCGTAAAGCAAACAAGCAAACGGCCTTGGAAACCTTGGAAGAAAGCAACAAAGCAAACAATCCCATCCCTTCGAACGTTTCCTTTCGAGAGCTGAGCCCAGGTTGCAAAGAATTCTACCGTACATAGCCGCTGGTTGCCCAGCCCTGGTGGAGGCCCTGGGTGGACTAGGTGTTATGTAAGCGGATACGGAGCGGGCGCCTGAGGATATGCGCTTAGTAACCATTCAACCAAACCTTAATTTAAGTATAAATATTGTAGTTTTTTATCAACCCACTCCAAGTAATAAGCCATTATTGTATTATTCTCCTGTAAATTGTCTGTACTAAATAAAAACCGGAAACAAATGAACAATTATCTCACTTCGCAGAAACTGCCGAATGGGCCTTGGAAATTAGGAAGTCCTTTCCCTTGACCATCTTAACCATTGCGCTCCAAGGCGTCCAGCCCATGATCAACCCGGTACCGCCTGTCGAACCGACCGGCACCACCATCATAGTCTTATCGCCTTGATTGTATGATTTGCTTTTCCCTTGGCCAACAATTTCCGCTTTCAGATTAGCAGCAACAACCGCTGCCTGCTCCTGTGCTTTGAAGGACAACCGCATTGAGTTGTTGGTGATATCGCCCGCTGCGAAAATTGGCAATCGAGGTGCCGATCCGCGTCGTCTCTTGACTCGAAGCTCTTTGTCTACGGTCACCCAGCCGTTCTCGTCCAGGAGATCCGCCGGGATGAAATCGTTGTTTGGCAAGACACCAGTTGTGGGGATGTACAAGTCGACATCCAATTTTCGTCCCTCATCAAGCGTCACTGTCCACGAGTGGGATTCTTTGCTTTGCACGGCTCCGGCGACTTTCTGATTTTTCACGATTTCAACTCCCAGACCGGTAAGAAGCTTCTCGGCCGCAGCGCTGCCGGCGGGCTTCAGCATAGGCAGGATGCGATAAGAGGCCGACACAAGAGTAATCTTAACTCTTCTGCCGCTCTGTCGAGCGGACTCTGCTATTTCCCCTGCAAGTTCAACCCCGATGGGCCCGGCACCGGCAATGACAATGCTTTCGGCCATAGCGATGGAGTCTTGTGCGTTGTGAATAACGGTCTTCATGTCATCCGAGTTGGACTGCTTGAATGGGATGGGAATGGCGCTTTTCTGGCTGGTGGAGGCAGTTGTGCTTCCTGATGCAATTACAAGGTAATCAAAGTGGATGTTCCTGGTGGTATCAAGAGAGACTGTTTTTGATGAGACATCGATTGCTGAAGCACGGCCTTGGACGAATTCGAATGATTTCGTTGGGTACCGGCTGAACTCCTTTTCGATTGGAAGAAGGTATTGTTCGGGTTTGAAGGCATCTCGCTTGGCGAGAAGTCGGGGGGCAGCAATCGTAAAGTAGAAGGTTGGCGATGGATTGATCAGGGTGACTTTGACATTTGGAATATCTTTCAGAAGAGAATGAGCAATCGGAATACCGGCGAAAGACGCCCCGACGACGACGACGTGAACCTGAGAGGACATTTGGTAGAGGGGTAAGAAAGGTTCAGAAGAATTAAGAATAATGCGGAGGATGAGGCCAAGCAAAAGGAACAAGAATTATTAACTCAAGCAATGTAATTATATACTTGGAATGTATAATGTTGTCTCCAGCACAGAAAAGGACTATATTTATAGTAATCGCATTATATTAATACTGCGATTTTTCTTTGCAAATTAATAATCTTGGAAGTATTGGTAATGTTTAGTTAATCCATTTTCTTTGGTTTTTATAGGAGTTAACCAGGAATGCACGGGAGAAAATAAACTTTTTTAGAGTCTGCCGGACCCACCTTACTAAGGGTTGGTAATCTCCAGGGCTCTCTGGGGATACCTTGTGGCGAATAAGATGGCAATGCCATTCAAAATTGGCACGGACATTTGCCCCTGAACAATTTGATGGTTTACGGCTGTCGGAACGCCTGATATCCGAAGATCGACCCCAATAGTTCGGTGGTTCACATTCAGCTCCTTGCTTGGGCCTTTCTTCGGCTTTGGTATCATCTCCTCCGAGATTCGAACGGGGCTTGCCTTCTCCGGCCAGACATTCCAGGGCCTTGCATTCCCGACAAGCTGCTTATTTGCTTTAAGCTACGTCCAGGATCATTCATTATAGGTACAATTATATATAGGCTAAAATTCCATCCTATCTACCAGATAAAAATACTTTATTTCCCAGTGATTAACATGGCAATCTCTATTGCGTTGCTGAGGTGCTTTTTCATCCTCACCTGTCTGCAATTGGTCAAGGCTGTTGCAGATTGTTCCCATGTTGCTTTGTTCCCGCAACGGCCCCCTGTTAAATTCGACATCATCTTGACAGAAGGCGATATATCTCCAGATGGACATTCGAGGAAGGGAATTTTGACAAATGGCCAATTCCCTGGACCGCTGCTGGAATTGTGCCAAGGAGAGGATGTTGAGGTTTTTGTGTTGAACTTGCTGCCGTACTCCATAACTATTCACTTTCATGGCAAGGCTCATAATTCCTTATTGTCCCATATTCACTTCCTGACTCTTTTGAATAGGGATTGAACAGAGACACACCCCATGGTCAGATGGTGTTCCAGGCCTTTCACAAAGAGGGATCGAGCAGGGGACGTCTTTCATCTACAAATGGAAAGCAACCGAATATGGAAGTTACTTCTATCATGCACATCAACGAGGGCATATTGAAGATGGCTTGTATGGGCCGATTTATGTACATCCTGATGATTCCGTGGAGCGGCCTTTTGCACTGATCACTAGTCACGGTGATCAGCAAAAGTTAATGCGGAATGCGGAGGATAATTCGCTGTCTATCATACTCTCAGATTGGCGGCATATGACATCAGAACAAGTGTGGGAGGCGGAAAAAGCCACAGGACTCGATGCATACTGCACCAACTCGTTGCTGATCAATGGCAAGGGCTCGGTTTCTTGTTTATCACCGGATACCATCGATGCATTCACAAGCGACTCGCAAAACCAAGTGCTTGCTGAGTCTCACCTAACTGATATCGGGTGTGTATTGTTTACCTACTTGCGGATTCTGCCAAGGGTGCTGACAATATTCACAGCTGCATACCTCCAACCATTATGGCAGCCCAAGGCCCCTATCCCCACGACTTCAGCAACATACCAGATGGCCTATTCTCAGGATGTACGCCTACAAACGGACTTGGAGGAAAAGAAAAGATACTTGTGTATCCACGTGCTGGCTACGTCAGTTGGAACATTATATCTGCTGCTGGCGTCGCCGCATTATCGTTTTCAGCGGACGAGCATCCGATGTACGTCTATGCTGTTGACGGCCGATACATCGAACCAGTGCTGGTTCACGCGGTCAACTTGGCGCCTGGACGACGGCTGTCTGTGCTTGTAAAACTTGACAAGCCACCAGGCCACTACACCATTCGAACAGTTGTTAATGGTTTTAACCAGATTTTGGACACAACTGCTGTTATGTCCTATGTGGATACTGTGGATGACATTGGCAAGGAAACATCTACTGGATACATCGACATTGCAGGGAAGAATACCACCGCAGATGTCACGTTCTTCGACGAAAAACTGTCAGTTCCATTTCCGGTAGAACTGCCAGCTCAGGCGGCGGACCAAACATTTGTTCTCAACATCAATCGTTTCGGAAACACCTCATATACGTGGTCTCTCGGCAACACCAGCTTTCCACTCGCCCTCGAAGAAGCAGCGCCGCTTCTATTTTTCCCAGACTCGGATGTTGCACACAGCGGCCGCACCATCCAGACCAAAAATGGCAGCTGGGTTGATCTCATTTTCCACGTCACCACACCGATTCAGCCTGAGCATCCGATCCACAAGCATTCAAACAAATTCTTTCTCATTGGATATGGACAAGGGTTATGGAACTATTCTTCTGTTTCTGAAGCAATCAGATACATTCCCCAGAGCTTCAACTTCAACAGGCCACCGATATTGGACACAATCTCAACTCTTCCTGCTGCTACCGAGCCAACTTGGATGGCTATACGGTATCAAGTTAATAACCCAGGAGCATTTCTCATTCATTGTCATATCCAGGTCCACACCAGCGGTGGGATGGCCCTTGCAATCCTAGACGGGATTGACACATGGCCAGAGATACCTGCGGAATATCGATTGTCGTGAAAAATGTTGGCAAATCATCATGTGAACAGTTCCCGGCATCGAGGGTGGAAGTCAGACGGTAGAAGGCCATTTGGTGAAAGATTAGGTAGTGATCTTTTTGTTTTTTTGTTGAAGTTCATTTCATCGCCGAACTGTGTAAAATACGTGGCATTGCCTGCCAGGTGTCTAATGTGTAATACTAGAGTGTTTGTTATATAATGTCTGCGTTACTAATACGACATGTTTTCCCCATGTACATTTTCCTCTGATGCCCAACAATTCACTTGTTCCAACTTCCGCCCTCAGAAGTCAGCGAATTTCATCAAAAAAACTGGAGGCTCTGCGTATATCGTATTAACATGCACCGAAGGACACAATATTGAATGGTTTTTATCAGCTTTGGTTCCTGTTAATTGTAAGGGAGAGAAATCCAAGCGGATTGTAGTCCAATGGGCAGACCAAGATTTCCACTTCTAGGTTGCTTCTATCTGCCTTTCGGCTTTTACAACGCTTTAGCCATAACCCATCGAACCGCATCTAGTAAGCCAGCATATATCTTGTTGCCATCCTAGTGATATCCACATTATTCAACACGGTAACGGATGCTAACCCCTTTCATAAATGAAGTAGAAGTACAACCTACGTATATGGTGTGCCATAGGCAAAAGGAGGGCCGGTAAGGTAATCTCGCACTTGTAACGGAGAAGTCCACGGGTGGCTTAGAAAAAGACGGTGAAGGTACGGTAATGTATAGGAAGCAAATCAAAGTCACATAAAAGACTGACATAATGGTGAGCTGAGCTCAGATGGGATGCATCAGGTGGTGATCCAGGGCTGATCTTGAAGACTAATAATGCATAAGCAAACCAATAATACTAAGATCATTCTACATGTAGTAAAGACGATGCCTCCGCTATATATGTTAAGCAACGCCAAAGAAAACGGTCTCGCAGGAACTCGTTCTCCTGCAAGACATGACCACGTGCTTCCTGCTTTGTTCTGTGCAGCGCTTGAGGTTGTAGTCAATCTCTTCCGCAAGGCCAGATGCATGGAAGATCTCGCAAAGGCGGAAGTGCGTATCAAGAAAGGCCCTAGCAGGGAGTGGCTCATCCTCGTGTCCGGCCGCCTGCCGAAGAGTTGGGAGGGCACGAAGTACACTATTGAAGCGGGGTTTATCTCTTCAAGCCATGGTAGGCTTATACCCAGAGGAACGAAGCGAAAATTAACCCAAAGGAACCCCCTCTGGAACGATAACAGGATATGCTACCATTTGTAAGCACAAAGGCCGGAAGGGGAAGAATGGTTCCTATTCTAACTAGCTAAGAGAGGCTAAAAGACAAGAAGGGCACGGGTAACAGGTTCCTCCTTGCAAAGAAAAAACGTCGTCCTCGACGTGGCATAAGCACTATTCCGTCTCTGTGGACGTTTCGTAATAATCCTGTGTGTCATCCTGTCATCCACATCTCTATCTGGATAGCGTACGCAGGGCAGTCGATGGCTTCAACAAGTCCGTCGAGCAATTCACTTCCGTCATCTCAACGTCGTCGTCCTTCACGTGGAAGCGGATCTTCGGTTTACGGGATCTTTTTGAACCTTATTGCAGGATCCTTTCTGGGGAGTGTGGAAGTCTTCAGGATGTACATATCCCGCCGATACGTTGCTAGCTGGTGGCCAGTTGAACTGCTCTCTGTGAGGGAGATGATATCCTGCCGTAATGATCGGCGAGTCTCTGATCTCTTGAGGCAAGAGGACCCGCTAAGTGGGCGGATGCGCAGGTGAGTGCGTTGCGGGAATTCCGCCTTTAAGAGATTACAAGTACTTAACTCTGGAAAGAAGATTTAGTCATATGATCTCGGTTCTTGTCTCTCTGTCGGAGGATCAAAAGGGACGTTAAAAAAGGCCCTCAAAAAGACGTGTGTTGATCGAAAGTTACATTTGCGTCGTAAAGGACGTTGTCGCGTGTGCAGTGTGCAGTTAAATAGATTATGATAAAACCACCTATTCGCTCTCGGCGAGTGCCTCCCGTCTTCCAATACTGTTGGGATCTAGATATGGCCTCTCTCCAAGGCCGACAGCTCGGTGTCCAGTGCGCGGGCCAAGCCCGTCATAATCCCAAGTTGCGGCGTGGTATACCGATCGGTTATCCCAGATAGCTATAACAACAGTCAGCTACAGCAATCACAGATTTTCACGGGGGATCATACCAAGATCGTTCGGGTTCTGCCAGCGATTGCGCACCTGCAGGTCGTGGTTCTCAACGATGAGACTCACGAACCAGTCGAGAAGATGACGGCTCTCCTCTTCAGAAACGCCATTGACCTTCTGCACGTGTGTGCCAACAGCAAAGACACTCTTCCAACCAGTGACAGGGTTGGTACGAATGACAGGGTGTTCCGCTCGGAGCTCCTCTCCAATGTTCTCCGGCGCGCCACGAGGACCAGGGTGGATTGTGAAATCGTTGCGTTTGGCAACTTCGTTGAAGCCCGGTTGCGCGTAGGTTGCGGTTAAGCCCTCCAGAAACTTCTGGTAGGGCTCGGAGATACGATCGTAAACCTCGTAACCAGATGCCCACAAGGTGTCTAGAAGAGGATTAGTGTCCCTGGAGCATTTCATAGAGTATGCAAAGGCTCTTACCACCACCGGTTTTTGGAAGCTCTGTGAGACGCAAGAGAGTATAATCGCTAGGAATGGGCTCGAACGTGATGTCACTGTGCCACTCTCTGCGCGAAGTCTGCTTTCGCGTGTTTCTGTCCTTGTACAGCTTTTCCCGGCTTGCGGAGCTGATCACACTAATTTCATCGTCCTTGACGCTGTGTTCCCGACCCGAGTTTGCCACCGGGTGGATGTGCAGTCCGGATGTGCTTGGCTTGCCCGAGAGTTCACCAAGTCGTTGGACAAGCTCCTTTTGCAGGTCGTTGTCTAGACTATCCTGCTTACGGAAGAAGACCACTCCTCGTTGCGAGACTAACCTGTCATGTCAGCTCTATCTGCTATTCAAAGCAACGATACAACTCACTGGTTAGTGCAAGATCCCTAAGCAGATCATCGGAATTGGGCGCGCGCAGGAAATCCTTCAAGTTGGCATTGGGGAATTCCCGTCCAATGACTGGAGTGACATCGAAGGACTCGAAAGCATCGAGAGTTCCGCTGTACTTGATAGGCTCACGTGCAAGGCCTGTCAGTTTAATCTTCTCCTCGACGATGGGGACCACGGTAGGAGCGGTTTCGGTGACAGCAGATGCCATGGTAAGGGTGTTAGGTACAGTAGTGATTGTTGGATGGCCTGGCTTGTTGATGCTGGAAGATAAAAGCTGGAACCTAGGACATCCATCTTATACTACGCGACGTACTGGATGTTGCCGATTATCCGCTTGCGACATCTTGTGTCGTTGTGCCTGGGCCTCATTGTCGTAACCCCGCAGATCTGGAACGTTGCTGTCGCACAGTTAGAGTGAAAGCACGTCTTATATGTTAATTATCTTGATAGATAACGGTGAATTTGTTTTGTCACAGTTGACATTCGTCATTTTCCCCAAGAATTGCCTGACATCCCGCCGTCTGGAAACGCTGTGGTAATGGGATCATATTCACTGGAGGTTGCGCAACATCGTTGATTGCGAACGACACTATACCTACATGAGTTAGATTCGGAAGCTGTATTCAATCAGATCAATCCAGAATAATTGGGCTACTCAATTATTTTCATTGACTATCTGTTGGCTGGATGTACATTATATTAAATGCACGGGATCTACTCAAGCACGCCATGTAGGGTCCGACCAATCGTATGAAAAACTGGAGTGTATTGTTTTAGACGACGTTTGCCAGCGCCTTATGGGCCATGTAGCATAAGCAAAATAGAATATCTGTATATTTCTTTGATATCACATTGCACGGAGTATTCCCCATGCCCTAATGGACTGAGTTGGCTCTCCCCGTCTCTTCACATGTAAATCTGCTAAAGGTCCAATACCTAGAGAGATAATTAATGGGCGAATCGGAAATCTAGTCGCTTATTTCCTTCGTCCTTTGTTGTTGCCAAGTAATGTGTCTTTTCGTTGTCCGTCATAGCGTTCCATTTCTTGTCGCGGCTTTGATTGCGCCAGACATAGTATACCTTGGTCAACAGATATATGAAGATATTCGAAACAACAAGGCCCAACAAAGTACTATTGCCTCGCCGGTAGCGGGGAGCATCATCTGAGCCAAATTAGCATACCGAACAAATGCGGAAAAGAAAAGGAATTTCATGACCAACCCGCGCGATAGATATTGGAAGCAATAATCGCCGACGCTTGGACACACATGTTATACACGGCAGCCGAGACCGTACGGGATCGGACCGTGTTTGAGTTGCGGGAGTTCCAGTTAACTTGAATAGCATGCGCTATAGTTTTGTAAGCCAAGATACCCAGTATGCAACAGGCATGAATGGGTGAACTTACCATTTGGATATGCCAGCAGCAGAGTCATCACCACCCACACGGACCACTTGTTTGCGGTATTGATGTCGACCACATATAAATAAACCAAGAAAGGGAGTATCCATATTTGCCCGATCATAGACACCAAAGTCAATTGGCTACTAATTTCCGAGATGTATGTGAGGAGTAGAAGGAAGAAAATACAAAGCACTTCGCTAGGAATAACCAAGAGATTTGTCACAAAGGTGCTGAAGCCGAGGCCCCTCAGAGTAAGAGTTAGATATTGCTTTGGGGGCACTACTGGTGTTTGGAAGGTAAGTCCGATGATGTATATCGGCCAGAGATCATAGTCCTTGAGACTCTTCCAAAGTAGTTTTGGCGTGATAGGTTCTCGATTGTGCATGGACCCTTTGCTTGGGTCGTCGCGAATCACTCGATTGACAATGATGGTTTCCTCCCTGCGAACTATGTCAATAACGATGCAAAGGTTTGCTATAGAAAAAGGAAATGACGAAATGACTTACCGGGCAGTGAACCAGCCAGATTTCCCCCGGGACCAATTAACAGTCTGACATGGTCCTGGTGGCATCAAAACATACGCAGATAGACCGAATAGAAGTGTCAGAAGGCCCTGTTCTCGATATGAGTAATGCGCCCTTCTGAATTAGACGTAATGCATACTCACCTCCAGCAAGAACAGCCAGCGCCATCCCGATTGACCTTGCACACCACGAAGATGCAAAAGTCCGAAAGCTAGGAATCCAGCAAGAATATCTGCAATATTCATGGCCGTCCAAAAGAAACCCAGTCGCAAAGACAGCTCATGATGTTTGTAAAAGTAGGACAGATACAATATCACCTTTGAGTCTGTTAGCAGAGACTCGTACAAGAACGTGAATGACTTACGTCTGGGATAAATCCACCTTGCAAGATACCAAGCAGGGCACGGCACAAGAGAAATGTAGTTCTCCCATTCAGCCCATACTGTGCCATAGCAACCGCAGACCAAAGGACCATTTGTGTAGGGATCCAACGATCGGGTCCAACCCACTTGCTGACGAGCTGGGAGGGAAGCTCAGCACAAAGGAACGAGAGTCTAAACACCGTATTACCAAGATTGTAGTCTGAAGGTAGAAAAGACTATGGTTAGCTTGGAATATCATGAGAAGAAGACTCCGATTTTTTTTTATTTACCATTCGTGCTCATATTTAACTCGGGGAGCATATTGTCGGTTAGAGCTTGTGATAGATTGGACCGATCTAACTCCAAACACATAAACATGAGGCAAGTAAATACCATAATCCGAAGATCAATCTTTCGAATCAATTTGTATTCCTCGCTCCATGTCCACCGAGCAGATGGGTCGAATCGGTGAAGATTCTCCCAGTCAGCCCGGGGTTGATATTCCTTCGCAGTGCCAGGGTTGTCATAAACGGATGGCTGGGTCGCAACTGCTTCGGGGTTATAGCCTTTGCCTCGCTGAAACCAAAACCGACGTTCCTCTCCTGGCTCACCCAATGGAGCGATGTCAAGACTGGTAGATGAGTCTGTATCTGTCCCTTGGAGTACCGAGATGGACTCATTCGGGCCTTTCTTTGTGGTGTATACAGTGGACATCTTGACGAGCCAAAGTTGCTGCGACCGGATTGTAAGGCTTATTGAACTTTTCGCTCCACCTATAATAAATTTGGATTATCTGGGCTCATTTTATACATTCGGTAGCAACGATCTCATCGGGGTATTTCGCCTTGAACGTGATTTTACTGATAAGAGACCACTTGGCACTGGCTTGCATCATCAAGCCAAATATGGAACAATTCTTCTTTTCGTTGTGCTTTGAGGGGTTCGGGTTCAGGGCCAAGGAGGGCCAAGGGTCAGTGGGAATGGTATCTTGGTGGCTGAATATCACATCATTCTGTCAAAAGAAAACACACCTCACACAAACTACAAGTAATCTAGAATTGTATACAATCAACTACCGCGAGTTACCGAGCAAATACATTTGCCGAGAAGAGCGCAAATTTTCAAATGCCTTTTACATTATTTGCCTCCCTTGGCCTTGTTTCTCTATAAAATTGCTAATTGGTAGCAGCACAACAATTCTACGCCTGCAAGAGAGACATTTATAAATTTGAGCTCCGAGACCTTTTTAGCAATGAAGCGTTCCCCTAGGGGTCATCACCCCACTGCCACTGACATCTCGCGATCAAACACTTCTCCTCGTCATTCTCCAGGGAACAGGTCGCATCAATCTCTCATTCAAGCTTATGGCTATCCTCGAGGTTACACATGCCCTTCCAGTATGTGATTACTATTGTCAATCAGAGTCGCGCACGACCCTTAACATCGAGTTTCAGACTTCCCGTCTCCATACGGAATGACACAGATGAACTTCAAGCCCACGAAGTAGCGGACAGTTCTTAAGCCGAGGCACCTACAAGTCACTTATTTCTTCATGATCGGGAATCAAGAAGAAAAAGTTTAACAGGCTATGGAAAAACAATCAATGTATCTAGCGGGGCCATTTGGGGCAGACAGATAAACAGGCCTTAGACAGCCATGCCGCCAACGATTTACACCCTCGCGTGCTCATAGGGTTTCCTGCTTAGCAAAAAGCAGTAGGTGTCTCCCATGCCTCCGCTAAACTTCATCTCCATTTTCAGGACAACGGCGGGCAAAATCTACGCAGATGTTCTTGCCGTGAATAAAATAATCGATTCATCTCACAGTGTTGCGAACATTCACTTTTGGATGATATATACACTTTTATATCTAAGCTGTTTGTTCTATTACGGGTGGTTTTCGATGTCAGCCATAAGGGTCAACGTCCGATCTTGCTTATCTCAAGTGGGAAAACCTCGGTTATACCCATCCCAGTGGACCCTCGCCTCAGTCCCATGAGCTGAGTTGTTTGAATGACATCGAAGTTTGAATGGAAAGAGAGAGTAAAAGAATAACGCAGTTTGGAACATCAAAAATCCGAATCAAACGGTACGGAAAGTTCCATTTGACGCTGTATAAAAAAATAAAATCAATCGAAGAAATACGTAAAGAGCGAGCCCACTCAAGCGCCAAAACGGGTAGCGTGCACTTTATGTTCAAGGTGCTTACTCCCGTACCGAGAAGGTCAACCTGAGTTATTTAGAGTAGTGGATCTTGTCTGGAGTAGGCAGGCTGCCCACACAACCTTTTTGAGCCCTTGTACCCCGACAACCAGCAGGTTAATCTCAGAATCCCAAGCCCCAAGGCCGACACTACAAAGTAGTTGCAAGATAAAATTTTAAGATTTGCAAATGACAACGATTTACGATGTGTGACAGGGGAGAACCACTGGATATCATATTCAGCCCCACTTGATGCGCAGGTCACAGCTCTGAATGACGATCTCTGACCCCCGCTCGTATCCTGAATTAGCATGGGCGAAGCAATGTGGCTGTGGAATATCACAAAAACGTCAGCCCCTGCCAAGGGCTGGAGCATGTAAGTCATGCCCAAGGCTGAAGTTAGACTTTGCCGGAGATTTTACGTTTTCACAATTGGTTTAAAGTCATCGGTGTTTGGCTGGGATTGGGATTTCTCAATATGCCTCAAAGATGGGACAAGGAAAATGTCACCCTTTAATCTCGGAGGAAACGGAAGAGTAAGGTTTAAATGTCTCATCGCTTCATAAGGCTAATGAAATTACTATTTACGGGGCACTCTGCTCTGTCCGAATGAATATGTCGTAAATGTATTTCAACAGGGTGAACGGCCAAATGTAAGTATGGTGTGCACTGACCACTGCTTGAAGCGAAGCATTTCTTGTTCAAATGGGGGTAAGTGCAGAGAGACTTAGCTAAATTGGCAAGGCAAGCCCGAACAAAGACTTGAGATCTTTCCAATTTCAAATAATTTTGCCGACTGGCTGCCGTACACATAGCGGAAATGGGGATGGTCTTTCGAAATTACACTAGCTATGCCCTACAAGTTATATTTCTAGTGTGGTTAGGAATGGTTAAGCATCCACATGGTATTGGCCCCCACGTACAACATTGTACTAAGACCCCAGCTTCCCAGCGATGTAACACTCCAAGTTGGATTTCCGTGGGTCTCGTCTCTCGTTTCATTACACGCGCGGACAGATTGGCCCAGATGTATGAATTCCGTGTGGGGAAAGGGGGAGTACGAAGTGTATAGACTGGATGATAGAAGTTACCCGGGCGTGTGCCCAAGCTCGGACTCGACACTGGATCCATGGATATACGGCAGACAATCCATTGGTCAGGGTAAACTCGCGTATATGCACGTTGGACGCCAAGGCAACTAAGTGGGTCCTCACCCGGGCGTGTTGAGCCTCTTTGGCGAAAAGTCGACGGGAGTCGATCGACCATTCGGGTGCAGATCGTCCTCGGAATGTGTTAACCCGCACAAATTTTCACTTTTTCTTAAAAAAACCCGACTGTACTTGAACCAATCACAGACATATCTTGGTGTTGGTTGTTCTGAATTTCGACTCAGCCTGCCAAGTTGCTGCAACATATCATGCCACTGACTCTACACCGCAATGATCCACGTGCAATCTGCCAAAAATACATCCTCACGCAGCCTTACATCTTTCTGGCGGTGATAAACATCCTCATACCCGATGAGGGAAACGCAGGTGCGACAAACGCCCCTTGATGAGTTCACCTTCGATCGGCATCAAATCTATCATCAGGGCTACGGCCCCACAGGCGAAACAAAACCCTGCTTTCGATCCGTGTAGTTTTGTTGTAGGCAGAATTTTATTGTAGGTTTTCCAATAGATAAAACTCCATTTCTGGGAAAAATCCGGAGACACTTGGTATTCGAATATGCAGCAAAGGACGGACTTCGAGGTGGCTGCATTGACACATAAACGCCCATGTGGGGAACAACTCACAACCCGATAGGATGAACCATGTGCAGTTGAGCTATGTGGGTGACCGATCCAGGAGGCTGAGGCTCTGATCGACTGGGAGGTAATCCCCCGTACGTCGCTCCATTCTTTTGGCCCAGAACATGCCTTGCTAAAAATTATAAGCACTAGGCGTTCTTTGGGTAGTTTCAGGCTTTTCTTTAGTGGACTATTTAGTATTAGCTTGGTTCTTGATCACTTTATTAATTAGGTACTAGATCGGCGTCCTGAGGGTTTAGAGATACAACCGAGACGGTCCGACATACCCACCCCCCATAGAGCTGTTCTCACTAAGGAAAGTCTTATTAAACCTTTTTCCCCTTTCTCATCTTGTATTTCTTCGTGTCACCTCCCCACTCCAGTTCGTACGACTCTCACAACATCTAAACGTGCCGTGTAACTTCGTCCCGAATGGCATATTGAGCCGCATCAGCCACACGAGAGTATCTTTCCTTTACACGCCTACAATGTCCACATTCAACACCTCGTATACCGCCTCCGTTGCGCCGCCACTCGACCTTGAAAGTACTACTCCCATGCCGTCAAAACTGGCCAACCACAATAACAACGCAAGCCAAACGGAGATGTATCCCGGTCCTCCTGTCGATGTTTCGTCGCCTCCCCAAACAAACTCCCACCGTGTCAGCAAAGCTATGAGGGGCAAGAGAGTCCATGCGTGCCAGCTGCCTGGATGTTCGAAGGTGAGTACCCTGAGGATATCGCAGATGAATGATCTCCTTAATCACCACCATACAGGTTTTTACCAGAGCCGAACATCGCAGACGACATGAGCTCAGCCATGAGCCTAAAAAGAAATATCCTTGCACGTACGAAGGGTGTAAAAAGGCATTCCATCGCCGGGATTACTTGGCTCAGCATCTACGTCGACAGTAAGTAGCCCCTAATTATTAGAAGAGACGGAACCCACGGACTGACCTGAATAAAAGTGGCTCAGCACCAAAGGAAAACGCACCATACGCGCGAAGCGACACATCACCTCGACGATCAAGCCTACACCAACAGACGCAGTTGCAACCAGCCAACTCACCTCCTATTTCATTCCAAGCGGATACCACCGACAATTATTCTGGGGTATGGGGAAGCATAGATTCAATCTCATGTCCCCAATATGCCAGGGGCCAGAGCCAATCTTCTGCATCTGCTGATGACTACCCATCCCCCTATTCGTATACGAACGATATGTGCAGCTCACCCATCGCGAGCGACTCATTTTCGAACCCTCAATATCCCACTTCAGGCATCCCGGTAGAGATGGTGACTGCCATTGATCAATATCTCCGGAGCATCCTGAAGCCCGAGGCCTTTTCCTCGCCCGACCGGCAGATGAACCCCGCAATTTGGAGCTCGGATATTGATATCGATCCCACGTTGACAAGGATGGAGACCCCTGTGAGTGGGACAACGGAAACCGTTTCCAGCGAAAAGACGAATGCTGATAATTGTTTCAGGGACAACTACCGCTCTATTCATGGCCAACTGATCACTTCCAATACGTGGATCATACAGTGCAGATGAACCGCCCGTCCGACAACCGCTAAGGATTATTAATGCCAGCGGTTGATACGCCTAGTTTGGGCTTTTGATTTGCTTTAGCGTTTTGTTGCTCTCTTTACATCTTTTCACTTGCTTTATTACAAAACACCTACTGGTCATGATCTCTTGGGGGGCGTTTATACCATTCCTTTACTGATGATACCATGACAATGTGTCGTTCTGCCAAGTTTGATTTAATATAATTTTCCATGCTTCATTTCAAGCCTCCGCGCAAGAAGAGACGCTATCCGTGTTCTGTTTACGAATCGCGGTTTGGGGGTCTCAGTCTGTCTGTAGCAGCTATCCAGATGTCTTGTTATTAATTTGCTTACGATACCCATGAGAGTGAAGACGACAATTTCCACAGCCCTTACTACGCATATCTTCATAGTGTACATCAATTTGATCTGCTCAATGATCTGCTCCACATGTTAGGCCCGGAAAAAGGAGGCCCCTTTTACGAGCCCGTTGTCTGATCTGCAAGGCATGAATGCAGACTTGCACGTTGGATCTATCGATTACATGTACAAACGGCCTCCCCGAGGCAATAATATTGCACTGTGATGGAGCTATCTTATGACAGATTTTGATTGCCTCGAATCCTCCACGGGCCGGTTGTGATATCCCTTGCATGTGGCTCTGTTTGTTGGTTCTGGTGCCTCGAAAAGGCAACCGGGCGAAGCGCCTTCTTGTGCCACCCAACAATCGGTCACAATGCCGGTATTCTTCCGGATACCTCCTTTGATAACAGATTCCAAGGTTGTGTGAAAGGCGGATCGCCCGCAAAGGTACATGGAATCCAAGCTCGGTCCAGATGCGGGAGCCTAAGTTTAAGTTTCGTACTTTAATTCAACGGTTTCAGTCCGCACGTGCGAAATGCGAATGCATCCTCGTGGCCTCCATGATAGGCGTTGTTTCACTAGTGCGCTTTGACATTTTATCACTCAGGGTTATGCTTTGTCTCTTGAGACTAAGACTCAGATTCCCGATCCATATGGGCACCAGGTTAGACATTACGATATGAGTCGGCGTCTAGCATGAAGTTGAATGTGTACTTCGATTTGTGAATATATTCAATAAACAAGCTTTTATCTCTTGGTTGAGCCAAAAGGCCGCACAACATAAGATATATCCAAAACTATACAAAATTATATACATCGGCAAGCTCCAATTCAGGAAGCACCTCCAAGCCCGTAGCCACTGTTTTACAGAGTATCCTCCATGATAGGCCCGTTATAGACCTTCCTCGCACGTACATAGTAGTAGAAAAGACTGAGGATGATAGTTCCCATAGTCCCAACGACACTAAAGTTCATAGTCTGGACAGTCACCACCCAATCTGGTGGCCAGAAGCTAAAGAAGACAGCAATTGTCATGTAAATCAAAGCCCAGGTGTTAATAATAATACCCCAGATGCCGGGCACATGAAATGGGCCCCAGACGAGCTTCGCGCCAGCGGTGTTGATGATAGCGGAATCGCTGCTGCGAACAGAGCTGATCCCGCCCGTGCAACGGCGCCAGAGAAGAAGACCGCCAACCACCATGTATGACAGGTAGAGACCAGAGATTGCCATGGAGCAGAGGTCATTGAAGGCGACGGCGGAGCCAATATTGATGAGCGCGAGGAGGCAGGCAATCACAGATGTTGCCAAAACGGAGTATAGGGGGACGGCAGAGTGCTCGGTGACCTGCGGTTTCTCACAATTAAATTGGAAATCCTGACAGCGCTCAGGGTGTTGGAAGAGCAACTTACCTGGCTCCACAATCGCCAGCCGGGAATGCCGCGGTCTCTCGCGAAGGACCAGAACTGCCGCGAAGTGGACGCCAACATGCCAACTGATGTGGTGGCACCCATGGTAGTAACGATCGAGCCCATCACCGCTGTTCCGGCTGTGGATCCTGTGGCCTGCTTGAAAATTGCCATGAATGGGTACCCAGTAGGTGAGTGGAGGGCCGATGCAAGATTGCCGCTGCAAAACAGCATGGCGATCAACATGCCGAAACCTAAGGATCCGTTGATCAAGACACTCAGCATGATCGAGGTGGGGACTGCAACGGCGGCATTTGTGATTTCTTCGGACATCTATGGATTGAGAGTTTGGATTAGTCCTAGCAATCGATGTTTGAGCAGGTTGAAGGAGATGGATAGACGCACATGAACCGCGGCATCACCGCCGGCAAACGCATAGATACATCCGACAATTCCGACGAAGAACGACAGTCCTTGGGAAGGGAATTCTCCCAAGTTTAGGAACTGCGTAAAGACTTCCTTGGAACTTCCATGATCGGCCATGTACGTCAAGGGGATGAGAATCGCGAAGAAGCCAAGGATGTGGAGGATCAAGATCATGCCCTCAAATCGCGGAAGGAGTTTCCCTCCAACACTGTTAATAGCGACACAAAATACGACAATCGCCCAGAATAGAAGAGTTCCATGCCAGTTCTTGGGTTCATATGTACTGTTTGTGAGCACGATCAAGCCTTGAATCAACGTGCCGACCAAATAGCACGAGGTTGCATATGTGGCTTGCCATCCAATGACAGTAAGCCAACCTTTGAGATATGTTAGCTTTAGTTTTGTATAACTCCAGATATTCTCCACTCACCTGTCAGGTAACTCATGAGTTTCATGCACGATCGCGGGGCCAGCATGGATGTCCAATGATACTGCCCTCCAGATGTTGGTGCCCTATTGACCGATTAGTCTCAGTAGATATGTCAAATAGACAGATCATTCCGTACATTGATGCCAACTCCGCTAGAACCACAAAGGTACCTGCGACACCAGCCCACACAAACAGGAATCCATATACAGCTCCAGCCGGGCCTCCACTGTGTAAGTCTGTCAGCACTGCAGGCACATAACTCTTCCGCATCTCTTACTTTCGATATGCTTGCAAGAATAGCCTATATCACAGTGGTGAGCTAACGTTCGTTCGGGGTTCATCTTGATTGCCAAGAGCACTTACACGACAATTCCCTCCCAGGTAATCAGAATTGTACAACTGAAACCCAGCATTGACATCAAACCGAAGTTGCGCTGCGTTTGTTAGCCCGTATCTGATACGTATTCTCAAAGAGCATCTACCTTCAAGACGGGACGTTTTCCCATGCGCGCGAGATTGGCATCATCAAGCTCCTTCCTTGATAGTTCGCCAATCTCTTCTCCCGACGAAGGCATTTGCTTCGAATATTGCGACCGCATAATGGATATGTGATTGCAAGGAAAAAGCAAAAATGGACAGATCAGAAAGAGAAGGATCGTGTGTTACCATAAGAAGTTCAAGGGGCAAAAAAACTAAAACTAATGTAACCAATTCTGCACATGGTTACATATGGTTAGGGGCAATGGTAGACGCTAATGCAGCAATTGCAGGGGTCTGCACGAGGACTAATAAACTTGAGCATTGGCATGAATAATGTGGCTTGAATCATCGATATTGCCAGGAAATTGGTTATTTAAGCGACATGGCCAGCAATAACGAGGTGGTAAATTCTACCGAGATCCGGGAAGCCGAGCACTGAATTGGCAAATCTCCGGGCAACAGTGTGAAAACGGATTAATTAATTGCAGTTATATACACCGGACTATATTGCTGTGGATTGTAGTGGATTTTCGGGACAGCCTCCGTACGCATGGAACTATAACGGGAAAGGCGCAATTTTCTGGAAAAGCGGGTGGATCAAGGGATGCCCTGGTCCAGATTTCACATGTTAATCAATTCGGCAACCCTCCAGTCACCGTCCAGGTCGTCTCCACTATTATATTAGATCGGCTAGACTGGCTTTCAGCGTCCTCGTCCGATGTTACCATAGCCTGATGAGTCCCATGGGGGACTGAGACTAATTCGTGAGTCTCACTTCGAGTATCCGCAGTGCGACGGGATGTCTTGAATGTGCTCATGCCATATGTCCTGTCTTTGCTGCCGTTGTTGGAGCTCGTCATGCCCAAACCCATTCCTGTTGACTGGAGACTATCCAAGAAAGGCTTGAACTGGGGGGAGCAGGCTGTGACGATGCTCATGGCTTGAGCCACTTGAGTAGAAATTGCGACGGACCAGGCATCAAAGGTGAAATCGCCTGAGGTAGTTTGATTGGCGTAAGCAAGTTGGAAAATAATCGCGACGATTACGCTGGGAGTACCGTATTTGTTAGTGGATTCTCTCAATACGGAGCTTGGTTTTTGACACGTACATGATTCGGACCAAGAACACACTGAACAAACTAGCTTTCCGGCTGAGATCGGTCTGGATACGAACGATAACCAGCAGCGCTTGGCCTATTATTCCACCCTCCGACAAGATATTTGTGACGCCGAGATAATTCCACCACGAAGCCTGATAGACGGTCAGCAATTTCTGTCGTTAAGGATGAACCGGCTACTCACTCGGTTGAAGCAACTCCCATGTAGATAATTCCATGTCTGCGGCACATGACATTGGAATGCGGCCGTGAAAATGCTAGCAATAGCCCACAGTCCGATCGATATTCCCAACACAAGCGCAAAACGGCGATCCAAGGCTGCGGGAGTCAAGTTGCGAATGAAGACCAGGAGCGACAGTTTAGAGAAGCAAATGCTGGCAATGAAAAGAATGGTTGCGGCGTATTCAGCCTTTGGTATTTAACCCATTAGCAAAGTCCAAGAAAAGGCATTTCCTATGCATACCTTCATGATGCTTTCAATTTTGACATCGGATAGCATGTCACGGTGCTGTCCAAGTCCATTCTCCGCTGCCTTCGAGACAGCAATTGACTGTGCGATGCAGAACACCATCGACGTAGTGGCAAGACCATCGTCAAATGTCCACTTGCGGAAAATGAAGTATTTTGTCCCCAGACGAGTCAAGACGCTCAGAATAGCCGTCACCAACATGAACCATGTCAAGACATTGACTGCAGGAGTCCAGGTGTTTTTCAACTCTGGGTGCATAGCGACAGGAATCAGAGAGGACAATAAATGAGCTCGAGCCCATGCGCTGGGCAGGGCAGTTATCCATATTGTGTAATACCCTCAGTATTTCCACGGGATCCGACGGGGCCTTGTAGATGATTGGTCCTGCAAAAGTCTTGTCCATATGCAGTTAATCGTAAAAAAATCCCTGAGAGGGCAAAGTCCGATATTACATCTGTAGGGTTTGGCTTTCAGCAGGGATGCTAAAAAGTTTGATAATGAGGCCACGTTATTCGTGGTGAAACTGAATCACTCCCCACTTGGTTGCGAACCGCGTCAACTTGCGTGAATTTATTAGGATCACGGAGTAATTCCCTAACTTCTTCTTAATTTCTGTTTAATTTCTATTAATTCGTAGAGTCCTCCGTTCTAACCCCTGTCATATGTGCGGTGCAATCTGTCTGGAACTGTTGTGTTCTTGCCTCTGGTCTCTATTACTGACATGGCCAGTAACCCCTGCCCAAGTGTGTGATTCCATTCAACTTGCCGGTCTTATATTTCTATGTTTGTATAAGTATAAAGTACTCTCAAATAGTCAAATTTAAAGGAGGGGAGCAAACTTTGGAGGCGAAATCCGGAGAGTGCAATGTATCTATAGATGAGCAAACCACATGCCGGGTAGCCAGCGCCTCAACTAAATCATTCGATTCAAACTCTCCATATCTTGCTATTTTCATCAATAAAGTTCATACCTGACAGGCTAGGACTCCGTTAATCGAGTGAATCGAGCCATGTTTCCACTCAATCTTCAAGTTGACCAACAAGCCCTTTGGAGTCTCGATCATCAGCCTCCTCTGCTTCCCAGCCCTCATCATCTTCCTCCCAAATGCCTCGGAGCCACTCATCTTGATAGATGGCCTCCCGGGGTTTATCCTCCGCATTGACGTTTAACCAGAGGAAGATAGATAGTGTGGCATCTTCAGAAGCCAATTGGTCCAGTTCTCTCTTCGGAAATCTTCTGTGCTCCCTTACATCGATCATTCCAATTAAAGCAAGTGCTTTGTAACCGCGGCCAGGTGACTTCTCATCTAGTATCTCATTGAAAAGCGGATGCAGCCAGGGAGCGACGAGATTGCACGGAACTTCGGGTTCCTAGAATGAACCACAAAGAGTAGACATCATTACTCCCGGACTACGACTCAAAGTCATGTAATATGGCAGCGGTCTTTGGGACAGACCAAATCGATGGAATAACCTCCATGGGAGTCATAGCCTGTTTACCACCACATGCTCTTGGAAGCGGAAGTTGGACAGTCAAGCCATAGTGTCCATGTGTCGGGAGTGTTATAGCTGTCATAAGCGCGATAGGGAGTTGGCTACCCAGAACGTAAAAGGCTTTCTCTGCGGTCAAGGATGTATATGAGGAAGTTGGCCAAAGTCTCTGACTTGATGGCGAATCGTGTCTCACATGTTCGAGACACCGTCCACGGGGCGAGAAATTCGTAGCAGGGAGTTCGTTTGACAATGGCCTTCGACCCTTCGCGTTGAGCCAGTATTGCATACCACCATCGAGTTACATTCTCATCTGCGTCCCCGGACATCGCAAACTGTCCAGCTGATGCCTCATATCCAGGACGTTCAGCTTTGTTCGATGTAAACGTAGGACGACGAATGAGTGGAGGAAGTGCACTCGACTGGCTAGGAACTGGGCGTAAACAGCGGTTACATCCTATCGAAACGTTAGCGATATGCACCGTGAAACACATTGCAAAAAGCTCACAGAGGGGATCTTCATGCGAGCTTGAGGAAATCCATGGGCTACGAGGTGGGCAGTCACTGGAGCGGAGAAGTCGTCTCGTGAGTGGCAATGTTGACCGTGTAAGTTCCTCAGCGTTGGCATGAGGGAAGTCTTCGAGGCATGTAGAGATCAAGGAGAAGAACATATCCAATATCGATGATATCAGTCTCCGGGAGATCGCAAGAGTTTTCACCGTCGTAGTCGATCCCATAGGATGTATATTGCATATTAGCACCCTCCCCTTTTATTTCAACAAGCCGAGCAGAGAGTACGTAGCACCATCGAAATATTAGGATCCCTAGGTAGTTTAGCCCGGTGTTTTGTTCTTCCGTCGTGCCAATCCAAGAATTGAAGACATTCCCATGAAAACTATAGGGGATAGCACAGTGGTACCAATCATGAGCTGAGAATTGACTATCCTTTCTTTCTCAATTGTTTCACAATCCGAGTTTCCTACTAATTTCCAAGTAGAAGAGGCTTGCATGCGAAGAACAGACGCAGAAGCTCCGTAAGGTTCGACATAGGTTGTTTAGGGCCGTCCGTGGAGCTTTGGGATCCTATGAAGAGTGTGATGGGGGTTTGTGTACTCTGGATTCAAGCCACGATCCCGATAGGCATAAGCTAGTGATGTCAGGCGATACCAATAATCCCGACTTCTTCCCAGACCCTGATCAACATGGCATGTCTGAGGCTGGATAGTGTCGAGTTCTGCAATTACCTATAACATGGTGAGACAATTAGCATGCAATGTCCTAGAAAGGGATTGTAAATACTAACTGATAAAAGCCGTGGAGGGTGTAAAGGATCCTTTCTCTTGACTGACTCCCGTATTGGGCACATTTCGAAGGGGACAATAGCTACGACGAGCTAGTTGACCAGATTAGAGAGGCGTTTTAGGCTAATTCATAGGTGGCTGGGAGCCTAGAATATTTCATAAGCGATGACTCGAGAATTTATCAGATTCGAACAAGGAGAGGGAAACTAGGGGTTCATATATCCAGGCTGATGTGGCCCAGGTTTGCAGGCATCAGTAGTGGACACTGCCACACTAAAGTATCACCATCACCATCATCACCATCGAATTTATGATCTCAGATAAAGAAAACGATATAAGACATACAGTCAAATGGGAGGGGCTCATATATGATGTGACCAAGTCTTTGTATGCATGAGGCATATAACTACATATGTACATATAGTAACCCCGGAATAATATATGTAGATAGCATTCATGTTGATGAATACCATTCGACCATAAAGCCTACGATTGTGGTGGCCAGTGTTTTCAACAATTCGCACCCTATGCAGACTCCAAATACAGCGTATGAGAACATGTATGCGTTGCTATTGTCGGATGCACGAACTGAAGTCAAACATGTTCGAGTGGCACGGCGAGACTTGCGCTTGATCGTTAGGAAATTGTTCCTTCACGTTTGCTTGCGAGAACTTCACCCCCGTTCATTTCTCTCAGATTGTTGTTCCTTTATCGCTCCTCCTCACATCGTTATATCTAGCACTATCGTATCATCCATCCTACTTAGGTATCTTTTATCGTTCAATACCTTCGTTCTGACTTACTGCTCACATATCCAATTGAAAAGTCCAAGAAAATGTCTCCTTCAATCAAGCTTGATGCCAAGCTCGCTGAGCTGAAAATGGCCGATGTTAGACTGCTCATCCTCGGTACCCTGTGCCACGATGGCAAGGTCAGTATCCAAGATTATTTTGTAGCTTCCTACTTCCATCTAACATTCATCTCATAGATCGACTGCGAGAAGCTTGGCGCTCTCGCTGGTATGAAAAAGACTTCTGCCAACACGAATTACTGGCGCGCCAAGAACCGCCTCTCGCAAATTCTCGATGGAAAAGAGGAGTCTCCTACCCAGACTACCGATTCCAAGCCCGAGAACTCCAACACTGCAGCCAAGAAGACCCCTGCTGGTACCAAGCGTGGCGCGGCCAAAGACGCACCTGCCAAGAAGGCCGACTCGGCTCCTAAGCGTCGGAAGGCTGCACCCAAGGCTGCGTCTAAGCCCGCTGATGAGTCCGCCCAGCCTGAAGAGTCCGCCCAGGCAGAGGAGACCAACGACAATGGCCTCGCCGACACCGCCCACTTGACCGAGTAGATCCCTACTTGTGTCATCACGCCACCTTACACTGAAGCTTCCCAAGACAGACAGATGATGGAATAAATCAAACGGAGGAGTTGAATTCGGGGTTGTTTTACTGCGGCGTCAACGGGCTCGGACATGGAAAGGATGGCTTGGCCATACCATTTGTCTAATCGGAATCTTTCAAATGAGACACATCTCACAGACAAACTCAGTTGCATCACAAGCACACTAGACGTAAGAATAATTCCTCTTCACACAGTAAACTAGTTCTACATGACCTGCTTCTCAATCACTTCTCAGTGGCCCTGTCTGCGTAATCTGACCGAAGCCGAGCCAGATGGGTTCGGCCCGTTGAGAGTGGTGTTATAGGTCGTATTGCTATCAAGCACTTTCAAAACCATCGTACTATTTCCCTCTCGGTAGTCGCTTGTAGGGGTTCCATGGGTTCGATAACCGCCGTGTGGCTTCAAATATTCCTTGCCCGTCGCAATATCCTTTCTCAAAAGCACTCTCTTGAACATCTCCAACGAAGCCAATGGCTGGTAAAAAGGCACTTCGTGACCAGACTCGTAGATTCGGACAAAGCTAAACAAGTCACTTTGACGAACCTGTCCATGAACAACTCCATCCGAAGTGGTGATGTTCACAAAGCCTGCATGTTCGTACCCTGGGGCATTGATTTCCTCGGCCACAACTTGTCCACCAAGCCAATTGCAGTTGTAGTCGCTGGAACTCAAATTAGCACGGTCTAGTAGTCACCTCATGGCATGGGAGATCTCACGCATCCCCGAAATACAGCATTACCTGTACTCCAGCTTCCACCAACTTCCTCACACTCTCTATCGTCCCAGACTCGCGGTCGTCGTCGCCTGTGTTTCCAAAGGCACTGCTCACAGTCCCGGAAGACTCTGAGAAGTTCTGGTATGCTCCAATAGCAGTTTGGACTTTAGGGCTGTTGAGATACTCGACGTAGAATGCGTACGGGAACGGATCGGGTGTCAACTCTCGCATGTCATACTCGTCGCGCCCAGAGTAGATGTCAAATAGCGACTCAACCTTCGAAGCGCAGAATTCATCCGCGGCAGAGCAAATATCGTTTCGACCGGTCGCATAACATTCCCGAGTCCGATCCACGCAGTTCCCTTCTCCGTAAAGGTTATTGTACCATTCGGCCTGGACCGATTCGTTGTATGGGTTGAAGTCGTACGTGTTTCCGGGGAATATGGAGAAGTTGTAGAATGCCTGGTATTGAATCAGCGGATCGAACCAGCCATTTCCAATAAGGACGTTCTCGAGATCGATCCGAATCGAGCCGTGCGGCTTTTTGGCGTTCTGTTTGACAAAGTACTCTACTACAAAGTCAGTTTAAGCAGCGTCCAAGAGCGCTTAGGATCTCTACCGTTGAATATTGGCCCATAATGCCCTCCGTAGCTTTCAGTGGCGAAGTTGAAGCCATTTTTTGAGTACTCTGGGAAAGCCCCCATGAAACCTTGCAGTGTCTTCCACATATTCGGGGCCGCATTTGCAGTTGTATTGGGAACTAGGGCAATGTCTGGTTTGGAGTATGTGCCGCATGTTCCAAGCTCCTGAGCGTAATCGGGGCACTCTTTGCTGGGCAGCTGGACAATATTGCCGTCATTATCCTCGTATGCTGGAATGGGGGTTGTATATGATAACCCAACCGTTGCAGGCTGGTCGACGAAGAGCTGGGGACAGTTGAGCCAGAGTCTCGGCAAACAGAGAATGCAAACTTACCATGTTGCTCACATTGCTCCAAGAATAAGGGTTGTTGTATACGTTTCCATCCTGGTCGACTCCGCAAGGCCCTAATTCCTGGAATAATCCAATCATAGACGATGATCCCGGCCCTCCGTTGATCCAGACTGTAAGTGGTGCCTTATTGAATGTCAGTACTGTGATTCTCAAATGCTGTCAGAACATACATCTTCAGGGTCTCCATTTCTAGCCTCAAAGAACCACCTGTGGTGGTCAGTCGCTGCCTAGGGCTCATCCCTCGGGAATGCTCACCAAAAAATATGCTCGTCCTCACCAACATCAGCGTAACCGGAATAACTCTTCACATTGGGATCTTGTTCGCAAATCCCAGAAGGCACTTCCTTATATCGCACATGGATGCCGGCATGTCCTTTCTTAGTGATCAAGTCAGTGGGCGCGGGCACAAATTGTGCCATGGCATAATGCGCCAGCACGGCCAACAAAAACCTGGTATACAGCACCATTTTGAATGGACATCCCCAATTAAACCTGAGGCTAGAGTCATATCTTATACCATTAATTCCAGATAACCCCGCTCGGCTGGAGTTATCCACTTTGTATTGCTAGTATCAAACGGGATGACCAGAAACTACTAAGATCGCCCAATTTGATCATTTCAGTCTAAACCCGACGGATCTCCGACTCGACGTCTCCTAAGGCCCGGAAATGACCGAATTGCTTATCATTCAAGCTTATTACGTTGTAGTGTCTGGTTGGGGTTTGAAGGATTAATTTGGTGCTTTTGTACTTTTCTTTTTTTGGCCCCTTGCCTCTAAACCATTCCCGACTTCTACCTTGCCCTGCATAACTCGGAAATTGTATATCTGTCATTATTCTTTATACATATCAACATCAACCGGCCAGCTATTATAGAATCTATCAGACAAAAGTCGAGGGGACTTGATCAAAATTAAACTCTCTTGAACGGCAGCCCAGGGCCCTTGCCGGCATCAACCTGCACAAAGTACCAGATATGCGCCTCAAAGTCCGTCAGCAACGGCAAACCTGTTCCAGTGTTTCCGTCGAAGGAGATATCCCCCTCAATAACCTTCATATCAGAAGTACTGACAGTGGCATTGTTAGGCGATGTGATCCAATACTCAGGACTGACATGAACATAGCCCATGGACAACAACGGCAACTTAGGGACCGGGTCATTGGTATGGGTGAAGCGGTAGTTGTTACCCTGCGCAGTAATATACTTGGCCAAAGCCGCGTTCGCCACGCGAGGCGATGCATACGCGTACAACTTAGCTGATGGGTAGCCTTTGCCCCGGAGATCAGCGGCAGCAAGGGTCGCGACGGCGGCGCCAAGGCTGTGGCCCACTACGACTAGCTCATAGTCCGGATTCTGGGAGACGGCGTCTTTCAGTTCTTTAATGATGTCGTCGCGGACTAGCTTCCAGGAGCTCCAGAAGCCGAGCTCGGCGAGGCATCCGTCACAGAGATCAGGGTTTGTGTGGAGGAACGTGGCATCGCTGACCCAGTTGCGCACTGAATAGGACCCGCGGAAGGCCAGAACAACTGCCGCGTTGGTGTGGTCTACTGCGATGAAGCCGGCGGTATCTGTGATGGTGGTGCTGTGCATGTGTAAGTATACTATTTATTGTATTTATTGGGGGGCGTCGCTTACTCGGAGAAGTCATAGGATACAGTCGCATCGGCTTTCTCTATTTCGGGGCAGTTGCCTTTCGAACAACTGATCTTGTCGCCCACTTGAGCCGCGTAGTTCTCCTTATAGTACGTCGCGGCGGCATACTGGACCCAGAAGTCGAACTGGTTCAGCTCGTTGGTCGAAACATCTAACCAGGTGTGAGCAATGTGGTCAACGTATACTGAGCAAAGTGTGTAGGATCGTACCTCGAGTCTGCAGCTTGCCGGGGAGGGCATGACCCAATGAAGCCACTGCGGATAGGGCTGTGAATAAAGAGAAGCGCATGATGACTTGAGTAAATGCCGGTATCTGATGGAGACTGGAGACACCACAGCCCGTGGGAAACCGCAGCTTTATGTGTTCGGTGTACCTGGCAGACCCATATGGGGTGTGGTTCCTGAATGGGTTCCGCAATTGCGCAAGCCATTTTCCTGTCGGAGGGACCAAGGAACCACGGCATACGATAAAGTCCGATATTGCCTGTGATGACGGAGTCGAGGGGATTCGGCACAGCTGAGTCCACGGGGAATATTCCCGATTCATACAGTGATCGACGAAGTATAGATCACATCTGGGGTTGTGGCACGGGAATATTGAGATCCATGGAGATGTGCTCCAATCAGTCGTGGCTATAAACTGGAGAGGGCATCGGTGGAGCCGGGGGACTATCTCATTCCGGTCAGCCCGGGGAGTGAGACGGAGAACCCGAGGTCGCGTGGACTCCGAATACGGAATATGGTACAATAATATTATAGCAACATCGTCGAAATCACCTGGTCAGATGGTTTATATCACATGAAAACCTACAGATCGCCGGAAGCTTGACCTGCTCGGCCCGAACTTGGCGAAAATAATTTCCTTATACCCGGTTCTTGCCAAGAGGCCCCCAAGTAACTCTGCGGCCTTAGGGCTACTTGGCAGGAACCAGCGCTGTGTAGGGCTGTGATTGGACCGAATTTGGTTAGAACCTCTTGGCGTTGCTCGCGTGATCAGATTTGGCGGTTCGAAGCGGCAGAATTCAACTGCCTTCCAAGGTTCCGAGTTCTTGTGTCTGACTAGCAGTCGCAAGGGCATGCACACTTTTTCGTCCACTTCCACACTTTTAGCTAGCTACTTTAGGAACGTCTACCGCGAGCCATAATTTCGGACTCGCCTCTCGTAATTATTATGGTATCTCCGTAGTATTCTTGACAGCTATCATAGTTAGGTGATCCCCTCCGTTTGGGTGGCGGACCCTCTCTTGTGAGGGTCCGTAATTTTGGTTAAAAGGTCTCAGAGGCCGGTTAGTCTTTTGCTGTCATAGCTAACAATATAGAGCTCACGGCTTGGACAACTTTTATTCGACTCTGGCTTATAAATTTCACATTAAACAGCCATCCTTGATGCTGGAGTGCAAGTCGCTCATCCCCACTCGCACGCGGCGATAGCCAGTACGGTGGGTCTTCTTTGCGCCATTTTCCTTGGGCCTCAGGCTTTCCACGCTGGGAGACCCAGCCCGCGCATAGCTCACAGGAGTGGGTTTGGCGGATGCAGCAGTAGGTTCAAGAGCATAAACCTCAACCATCCATTCATACCAGACCTTGCGGTCATCGGTTTGACGGTACATCGTGGCGACAATCTCACCATTTTCGGGAACACTAAGAGGTGTCTGCAGACAAAGGAAAGAAATGTTAGTATGATGGAAAGGAAAGAAGCGAGAAATATATTTGGATATTTTTGGAAACTAACCTTCAAGGGGAAGTAGATGGGGAACCAGCTGATCATGTTTGGGCTCTTGGCATCCATGGTTACCGGGTTGGTAGACAACTCTACATCACCGTAGAGCACCGTTTCAAAGTAGCCGGCCAGACCGTGGCAGACACCTCGGTTCTGGGAAGGGAAGGCTAGCCGTGTTTGGCGTACATTGTGGGCGTTCGAGATAGTCGACTGCATGGGGGACTGAGGAAGAATGTGTCGGTTCGGGTGAGAGAAAGACCAGGCGGTCTGCACAAAGGGACTGGGGAATTCAGTAGTGGAGAATGACCCCGACGGGGTGGGTGCCCGGTTTCCATTGTTGGCGGAGTTTTCACCACTAGCAGGGGTATCCGTGGTGGAGAGGAAGTCAATAGCGTGAAGCATCACGACATATGGGGTCTCTGGAGCGGCCGGGTTGGACACAGTCTGGTGGACGACATCGGCATGCAATTTGGGAGCGGAAACCGGAGTGAAATGTGCCGAATATGAGGCTGGAATGGAAATGCCGTGGACGGGGTTGATCACGTCGTTCACGCCATCCAGACATTCAGGAGAAAGCTCATTGTCCGCAAAGGAGCCCAACAGCTCTGAGACAAGGATATCAACATGGGTATGGCGCATAGCCGAACCCTGAAGTTCAGAGGTTTCAGACGGCCGACCTGGATCAAGCTGGCCCTTCTTCGAGGACAAAAGTAACGAGCTCTCAATTCCAAGCGATTCTCCCACAGGGCCCGTAGCAGCTGCAGTCGGCTGCTGTCGGACCAAAGGTCCTCTCCAGCTTCGCATGTCTGACTGGACGAGGGTGACCTTACCACCCCAGATCGTGTCGTTGTGTCGCTGTAGCAACACAAATGCGTTCTGGTTCTTCTCCACGGCCCAGAGGTCAATCTCCACTCCAGCATCTGCACTAGCCTTCAGTGCGCGAGTGACTAATGGGCCGCGACCAGCTCCCACAACTGCGAGAATCACTTTCCCGTCCGGGTGGGATGTGGCCTTCTTCTGGTCGGCCCAGTCTCTCAATGCCTTGCAGATTGCCTTCTCATACCACTCATATTTGATGGGGTCCTTTTCAAATACTTCATATGTGATACTCTCCAAATTAACAGTCAGCGGCTGTAGAGGTGCCTGCAAATAGTCCTGGTATCCCACACCAAACCTCTCAATCGCTGTCCGCGGGGGCTGGCGCTGCTGTAGATTGCGTATATACGAGAGGTGTGGAGTGGGGTCGTGGTGCTTCTTGCCAGCTTGTGACAGACTTGGATAGTCAGACCCAGATAGCGAAGCCTGGTTGTCAGGGTCTTCGATATTCTCAAGTCCCGGAATAGGACCGACACCACAAAGGATAATCCACGGCGCAGTTCGAAGACGCATCATCTTCGCAATCAAACCCTGGTGTAACTTGGACAAGACTGGGTATCCTTTCTGGTTCTTGAGGAATGTCGAGCCATCAATGGTCAGTAAACGCACTGGTTCTGAATGCCATCGGGATTGCACAAACAGAGACGGCAGTTGCTTCGGCAAAGCAAGGGCTGTGGTTCAGATTAGCTTTACTTCAAGACATTGACAATGCCGATGGGCCATTGAAAGTAAGGGTTAGCTCATACCAACGGTCAGTCTTGTGTGGTATTTGCAAGTCTTTCTAATTGAATCCCAAGCATCCCAGCTTCCAAACGGATCGACCTTAGGTAGATCCCCCTCATCTGGCACCAGGTATTCTGCCCGAGCAAGCGGGGCCAAGTCGCCCATTGTGTCAACTTCGACATCTGGGTTGTCAACCATCTGCTGCCAGATATAAAATTGGACGTAGGGACCGAGGTCTAGGGCATCTTGAATTGCGCGCGCATAATAGATGACACCCTCCGAATGCAAGGCACCATGATGCAACTTGGGGCCAGGAATCAAAAGATACCCAATTCCGCAAAACGCAGCATACGCAACTTCCAACATCAGAACTTGCCGGGACAGGTCAGCAATCAACGGGTCGGGTGAGCACAGATCAATCCAGCTACTGGTTACACCAACCAATTGACTGGTCGCATCATTCGGGGTGAGAAACGAGTCTGCCTTTGAGAGCGGTGGAACCACCATAGGCCGAGTGTTCTGGGTAGTAGCCATGGTCCCAACAACATCAGAAGTTGGAGGTTGCAGATTGGCCAAATAAGAAGACAATAGGCCAAGAACCCGCGAGTGGAAATGGGATGTCGTGATTGGGACTGTCATCATGTCATACTATCAAATCAAGTTAGCATGTATGAAGATAATGTTTAGGCGAGAGAAACCAACATTACTCTCATGTACATTTTGGATGACCCGAGGGGTCACAGTAACCAGTCTGTTGTGCTCATGATGCCCGACGCAGAAAGCAGGCCCTGGATCATCTGAAGGATTATAGCTCTCCATATTGACAGAGGAGTCTGGCGCAATGGTGGGGGGAATCTGGAACTAGGGATATAGATAGAAGATCGTGATGAGCAACAGAGCAGCTAACGAACTTGGTATCGGGCGGTTATATTCAAAGAAGCCACGCGCATCAGACGAACTGGCGCAGAGAAGTCCAGACAAAAAACACACTGGGCGTCAACAAGCGCGAAGACTATCAATCCCTTTGTGGAGAGTGGCAGAATAGACTGGCGGTGAGCCTGATAGGCAGCTGTGGCGCCGGCCGACCTTCCTATCTCATATTTTTTTTCTTCGGTATCTCAGCTTCTTCTCTCCGCCGAGTTTACCCTTCCAACACTCTCTCCCCTTTCACCTCCACCATGTCTGATAACCGATCTGACTCCGAAGGTGGCGCGCGAGCGAAGCGCCAGAAGATGGACGCTGGCGACCCAAAGAACAACCCCTACCTCGCTCACATGTACGAGAACAACAACGGCTCCGACAACGCGGCCCTGGCCAAGTTCAAGCGACACCAGACAACTGCAGCGCTGGCGAAAAAAGCCGAAGATGGCGATATCAACCCTTTCAGTGGCCGACCCTTTTCGAGCAAATACTTCTCAATCCTGAAGACCCGTCGAGATCTTCCCGTCCATGCACAGCGGTGAGTGCTGTCCAACAGCCATTCCGGAAGAAAGATGTACTGACCACTTTATTCAGTGATGAGTTCCTGCAGCTCTACCAGCAGTCCCAGATTCTTGTATTCGTCGGTGAGACTGGTTCCGGAAAGACTACGCAGATCCCGCAATTCGTCCTCTACGATGATCTCCCCCAAACTCAGGGCAAAATGGTCGCTTGTACGCAGCCCCGACGAGTGGCTGCCATGTCCGTCGCCCAACGTGTGGCGGCTGAGATGGATGTCAAGCTTGGAGAGGAAGTTGGTTACAGTATCCGTTTCGAAGATATGACCGGCCCGAAGACCATCATGAAGTACATGACTGATGGTATGCTTCTTCGCGAGGCTATGAACGACCCCAATTTGTCGCGTTACAGCACAATCATGCTTGACGAGGCTCACGAGAGAACCATGGCGACTGATATCCTGATGGGTCTTTTGAAGGAAGTCGTGGTCCGTCGGCCTGACTTGAAGATTATTATCATGTCGGCTACTCTGG